CATCGGTTTCTTCCTCCTTCTCAGACTTTCCTTTCAGCAATATTTTTCTCTTCCAACCATCCTTTTGTCACCTTTTATTTATTGAAATACAATCAACCAAAATTAACCCAGCCTAATCAAGGTTCAAGAATTTTCTCTTGAAGCATGATTATAAATTTAAATGGTTCACTCAATTTTGAGATGGTCGTAATGAAGAAAAAAATTCCCCAAAAAGCAGAGAATGAAAAATACTCCAGCTAGGTTAAAGCAGAGGCAGCAATAAAGGGTAGAACTATTTTTTTTATCTGCTTCATCCTTCCCTCTATAAACCGCCGACATTCTGCTGCACAAACGTTGGCGGTTTAGGGGGTTTGACTGTACTGGAAGTGGATAAAATCTTTTCTGGAACATGCATTTATTGTCCCGGTATTTTCTCGAACATGGAAAACACTTTAGCTGAGCTTAGCGCACAACGGATAAATTCCCGGAAAACTTGGGTTCGGTCTGTAAGCTGCACATTCGCGGCGTATACCGAAGATGGATAGACAGGGATGAAGTGTATCGACAGAAACTATAGTGGGTTCAAAAAGTCTCATCGAAAACAAGTTTCTTGAGTTTCGTCACAAATTCAATGAATCGCAAATTCAATGAATGACTAATGCGGTTCACTAATTTCTACATTGAATTAAATTCACCACTCGGCATTATTGGCATATAATTTTTATCTTTCGCGGAAATTTACAGAGCTTATTGTACGTATGTTCACTGCATTTCTTGCCACTGATTTTTTTTTACATTCTTTGCGGCCTTTAAAGTTGTTTATGCCTCAAATCGCTGCTCAACATTGATACGCGGCCTACATACTGAATATAGTGTCACTATAAGTCCGATACTGTAAAGTAATCTCATTATCAAGATGTATTTTACTTCGCTGGCTGACCTCCCACTCACACAATTTAATGCTACTGTCTTTTCCTCTCTTCAAGGAGATTCATTCAAAATAATTCTCCCCTTTATTTTGGAAAAATAGCAGGTTATTCTCCCCATGCCACACTTTTCCTCAAAATTTCCAATTTGCTCGTGGCCTACTGGAAAAGTTTTTTCCTCGTATGCTTGACCTGCAGTATTGGTGTGCGTCCTATGCTACTCATCGCGTGCTTGATACAATTTTCATAATAGAAATAATTGATAAAATGTACGTTTCAGGAGCACATTCCGGAAGAATGGCCGGAGTTCACGCTGAGAAAGAATTCGGCTTGGAGACGGGATCGACCGGTGCGGACTTCGTCGACACGCGCAAGGATTTTTGCGAGAAATCCTCGTTTTCAATCTCAAGTGGCTCCTCCATTGAGTCGAACTAATAGCTTGAGACACTCGAGGCGTTACCCGACGTTGTCGAGATCCGCGTCATCTCGCGAATACGTGAGCAGAGGGGCGAAACTGACGATGCAGGTAATTCATCACCTATTTAATCGTACTTCGATAATTATTTTTAAATTTCCGCGGCATCCTTAAATTATCGGTATGTTCAAAATGCAACCGAATAAAATCCACTATGACGACCCTGCCTTTTAATTTACATGTCCACCGCATTCCGCGTAGAATTTTTCATAGTAGCCCTGACGAGGGGTATTCATTAAAATTTTTGAAGTCCTTTAATGGAAGAGTTCAGAGGAGCGCCTTTGCAATACGATTTATTTAATAGCAGTCAGGCGCTCTTGAAAAGTGAAAGAACAGTAAGCCTTCCGCCCATACTACATTTTTTTCATCGGAAGTTTCCAATTTTCTTGTGTCCTGCGAAAGTTACTTTCTCTTATTTTTCAAGTGACTTCCCGGATTATTATGGATTGACATTAAAGAACTGATTATTAAAGAGAGAAATGATTAAATAAATCGGGATAATAATGTGCGACTTTCAATTTAGTGCGCTAATCGCATTCCATTTGCGGTGATCGGATTCAAAGGAAACACAGAATTTGTTTAATTAAATGAAGACTAAATAGGAGTCAGGAGTGGTTCTGGTAAAATTACGAAATATTCATAAAGGCAGAGTTATTTCGTGATAAACTGACGTTAAAGACTGCTGTCCGACTCCCATGTGACCCCATCACGAGCAGCTGAGAATTTTAATGTGATCATGAACCTGTCCAAAATGTGGGTATGCTTTGTGGAATACAAAAACCACGAACAGCACTTTTCAGGCATAATGGAATATCGAGCAAACTCAATGTGACTTGGAGTCGTTTGATCTCTTCAGCTAGTTCGACTGACGGAACTAACGTAATTATCATCCAGCATTTTATCCACGAGACTTCCGAGTTCAATCCTCGACTTACGTATCAAATATCATACTCCAATGGCACGAAGTGAAATTGGCCACACTGTTCATGTTGTTAGGAGCACAACTGCTGATGAAAATGTGTAAGGTTCCCTTTTTTAAATAATGAATGCTGGATCCGTACGATAAATGTTGCAGTTATGTATATTAAGCAGCTAGACGATGTATTTTGGGCCAGATGATGAAAGCAAATTCAATTCATGCGTGCTTACGAGTAAGTTCATTGCTCCTATACCATCAGTTCAATGACTAAAGGGTCTCGTTTCACCAGATATAATTGAACGCCTCCCGTGAGCAAGCACATTTTTTTGCAATTCTCGAAATTATTGCATAATTCTCGCCAATCGCCATGCCTCCAAATAAAGAAAATCAAATGATTCTAGCACAGGGAGAAGAGGAAGATTCACTGCCAGTTCTTGTTTTATACTTGTTTTATTACCCAGCAGCAGACCTATATACAGCTAAAACATGAGTAAATCTACTTGCATTTTTTAAATGTACATAATTCGAATGGATGATTCACACTACCGCCATCAAACATCAGATTTTTTCGGGGGGTAATGAATACTTTGATAGGAAGACATTCTGGCATCATTATGACGACTGCAAATGTTCAGGTTATTAATCACGATGAATTAACGTTTGCTGGTGATTTGAGGAATCTTAAAGAAAACTGTGGATCAAAGTAAAAGATTCGCCGAGCTTCCACATAGCTACCCCAAAAGGAAACATCCCATCACCCTGATCTGATCAAATCAATCAAATTCCATGAGCATGCGCGTATGTAAAGCGCAGATTTTTGTTCGAAAAATGCCTTGAAAAATCCAGTGTAGCCCATACTGCAGGTATTCGGGGATTGGCTGCTGTGAGGCCAATCCCGATTTGCCTGCGGTCACGGTCTAAAATACTGTATAACGAATCTGAGGACGAAAAAATTACTGTACTTCATATATGCGTTACAAAAGTACGAGTCCCATCAGGATCACGTAACCTGCCCTTCTGTAAGTTTTAAATAATCATGCAGTGTTGGATCGAGAATATCTTTAATTTATCCATTTTCCAGTCGTAAAATTTGCAATTTTTGCCTGTTTATACCCCACATTTTCTTCCTTTTTTTCATGAAGTTTAATCGTAAAACAGTGTGCGAAATGTATCCATTTTTCGAAATTCAAAACGTATGCTGGGCCAACATTTAACAAAAATCATGAAACCACGACTGATTCGCAGTCCCGTATCACCAGACCTTCAACTGACTCTTTTTCCAGCCATTTTTCTTTCAAGTAAACGAAAGTGGCAACGCAGTAAATTAAATAAAATGAAGAGCAGAGCAAATCGGAAGACGGAAATTTCCGCTGAGAGGAGGATGCACAACAGAACCCCCTATGAATGCTTTAAAAATTGGATCATTATTCCGGACGCGTTCTCTGTGCGATTTTTAAATTTCAAGATAAACGCCCTTTCGTCATTGGATGGAAGATTTGTTGCATAAAAACTTCGGTGCATATGAACTAGTGTACAGTGAAGTTGCTTTCTATTTTTTCAGGCAAACGAAGGCCTGAAACGAGCAGCATCCGAACGGGACGTTCCGAGATCCCACAGAAGCAGACAGCTGGACCCTTCTCTGGCCAATAACGTGCCGCCCGAGAACTTTCGCCGAAACGGATGGAACGACGGAGGCGCCCGTCACCCCGTCCGTAAAATCGGCGGGCAAAACGTCCTTGTCAACGTCCGCGGCTCATCCGGAATGAGCAACTCTCGTCACCCAAGCGACGCGCACCGCTACACCGCCAGCGAGCGCGACTCGCGCCGCAGCGTCCGCGCGTCCTACTTTTTTGGCCGCGAAGACATGCACCAACTCGGGCTGGCGAAAACCGACGACAAGATGGAGGCTCTGGCACGAAACATGGCGGCTCATCACGACGAGGACGAAGCCGTTTTGCGACGGACGGCGTATGACCACGAGGAGACCTCGCCACCCACGAGGTCTCGTAGGCGCAGCCGAGACAGCGGGCGCAGCGTCATGAACTTGGTTTCAGGGGTGGAAGACGACACCATAACGCACTCCAGTACGACGTCAACGACCGACAACATCGGGACTGACGAATCTACCAGGCCATTCGAGCATCCCGACATCGGCTCAAAATCTTCGCAGAAGGGATCTTCTCCGCATTCTGGAACGGATTCTATCGCTTTGCTGAGCTTCAGCCAGCGGGCGCTGATTGACTGATCCGCGAAGTACCCATTGTTAATGCAAATTTTTCTCACTTTACCCGACAAAGTTCGGAACGCTTAAGTTATGCTAAAAAAAAATAAACGTCATTATGTGCCAAGCGTGTAAATAAACTGCTCTCGCGGGTAGAACATCGAAAATGACCAAGTTTGCTTTTTTTTTACCCCATGTTGCAATGACGCCAAACTACCATGAACTTCTGCTGACACAAACCTGATGTGGATCCATCTAAATGTTTACTGAAGATGAAAATTCATTCATGTAACGTAATTACTCCAACTAATAGGCCAAAGTTCAACAAATTCACGGTTCATGGGAGCAAACGTGAACAGTGAGCAATTACAGTCCTCGACTAAGAAAATTCCTCTACATCAGCAAAATACTTGGACCTAGGATCGAAGAGCACAGCCCGGAAATTTAAACCACGCACCCATACAATGAAAGCCTTCGAGGTCTTTCTCATATCCATTTATTGACCGGACATCGAAGCTACAAACGCTCGACGAATTGCTGCATCACCAGAAAATATTGCACGTTACGTTCAAATCTTCCGCTCGTAGATTCGAAAATGGACGAGAGCGCACAAAAGCAACTAACTCGCAAAAATTTCAACAGCCTCCAGTTTTTGCCTACAGGTTAATCCCACCATAAGAATCTTCAAGCACAGGGTTTCGCATCACTAAAATTAAACACAGTCTGGTATACCACGCGGAAGCTCCGAACACCGATTCTATAACATAAAACGAACACGAGGAATAGGTGTACCGATTATCGCAACCCCATCACCACAAGAAATAAACCGAAAATTCCCGAATGCCGTAGTAATACGCGAACGCGGGTGAAATGCTTAACCTGGTTTTCAATGGCACAGGAACAGAAAACAATTTGATTCTCGTCGTCGAACAGCAAACTTGAAGTCCACTCAATCGAACTTCGCCAGAAGGAACGCAACACGTGACGGCAGGTAAACCTTAAACGTGAATGAGCATGAATATCCGCGGTCAATCAATGGTTATTTCTATTTCCATACCTGAAGCCTATTACGCCTTCCAGCGAAATGCTCCGGATAAGTGAAAAATTCCGTGCTGTGATCAAGGATGCCAAATCCACCGAAATCTTTCGCATCAGTGTCGAGGACAATTTTGTATTTGCCTGGCATATCAACTCCGATGAAGTAGCCGGGAAAGCTTTTACTCGGATGAAAATTGAAACAGAAAACGACGCCGGCTCGTTCAAAAATAATTATTTTGTCGTCTTCATGTTTCCACGAAACGTAACCCTGGATGAAACAAGGTTAACAGTGATCACGTAGTAGCTCCCACAGAGTTATTTTTCACGGGAAACGCGCGAAGAACACCAATAAATCTCGAACTACTCGCAAAATAATGTGATCAGTTCATAAACGAAAACAACATGCTACACGATGGTTTCAAGTTCAAACTTCTCGACGAATAAACACACAAGAAATCCATTCGACCACGTTCAACAAGCCAACTAAAACTACGCGCTCAGTATTTACATACCATCGTAAGCTCAAGAAGTCACACAAATTCTGATGTTTTATAACTAGCGATGGCATAAAGTGTAAAGAACACACTTCACAACATGCGGAATGGCATTGAATCTCACCTGACATGTCTCACTGGTTTCCTGGGCAGAATAAAAATAAGGAACAAAAATGGTGAAAATGGAACGTGATCTGAACTCGAACGACTCGAAAAGCCTCATCTTCGAATTTACAACCGTTCTTCGCTTAATAAAATTGATCGATCGGGAACAGAAATTCTCACCTGATCAGCTGCAAGCCAACCATATTTAGCCTCCGTGTGGTTCATGGCAGCATCGAAGTTGTTCAAATATTTGTACTTCAGTAAGTCGTCGTCCACGAGATTCCACTGCCGACGAGCATAATGATAGGACTCGTTATTACCGATGCGCGGAAAATCCAACCACTCCGGATGACCGAACTCATTGCCTTGAAAATGAAACGGGATTTTGTAACAACAAAACGCGCAAAAGCGATTTTCGTGTAAAATTACCCATAAAATTCAAGTAGCCTTCCCCACCGAGCCCGTGGGTGATCAAACGGATCATTTTGTGCAACGCCATTCCCCGATTGATAATGGGAGAATCATCCGAAATTTTCGACATATGCGTGTACATCTCTTTATCCATCAGCCAAAAAGCGAGAGTCTTGTCTCCAACGAGCGCCTGATCGTGAGATTCTGCGTATGCAATTGTTTTCTCCTGCCACCGACGATTCGTGAGCGTATGAACAATGTTTCCCAAGTTCCATTCGTCATCAGAATGTTCCTTCAGTAGTTTAATCCATTTATCCGGGATAGCCATCGCTAACCTGTAGTCGAAACCGATCCCTCCTTCTTCGACAGGTCGACACATTCCTGGCATTCCAGATACATCCTGGGGATTTCAATCGAATTTTATCACGCGACAGTATCCCAAAAAATTTAGTCCACAGGAATTTAATCTTAGAAGAATACGGATTATCCGGGCTGATGGCCGAATGCGACTGCCTGAATAATGAATTTCACGGAAAATTGAAAAAAAAAAGCCAACTGATGGAAAATCCAATGAAAATTATTGATACAAAATCATCAGACGTTCCTCAATTCTTGAAGCGTAATAACCTAGGCTATCAGTCAAGCTCAGGAAAGTGAAGCAGGACACGGCCGTCAACCGGCAGGCTTGATCCTTTTCAATGAATAAAAATGAGGGCACGACGCAAAAGAAATTTCTAGTTCTACTCTAAAAAAAGAAATGAATTAAGTATTTTTTAGCTGTTAAGAGAATATCAGTCTAGTCGTGCAGGGAAAGATGACAATTGAATTTAAAAATTCTTATCAAAATTAAAATCATACTTCGGCAATCGTGATCGCTTGCGGTCTCAGCTTATGGATCATATAGTTGGCCAACATCAAGTACACGAGAGCGTCATGGTCAGTAGAAAGACCGAAGTACTCATTGTAATCTCCACTGAAACCTGTACCCATTCCATGATGATGGTAGAGCATTGAAGTTACTCCATCGAATCTGTAAAAAAAAATGCAAATCTTAAACACGTTTTTTAATCGAAAAGTATGACCCGAACTGACCGAAAGCCATCGAACTGATATACATCTAGATACCAACGCAGGTTCGACAGCAAAAATCGCATGACTTCCCAGTTGGTGTAGTTGAATAGTCGAGAATCCCAAAGGTCGTGGTATCCACGTCCACCTTCATGAAAAAAGCATGATGTCGTGCCGTCAAACTCGTTGAGTCCATCAAGCACGTTTTTCGACGCGTGAGAGTGAACGACATCCAGCAATACTGTTAGCCCCATGCCATGAGCAGTGTCAATCAAGCTTTTGAGTTCTTCAGGAGTTCCATAGCGACTAAAATGAGGACATCCACGAAGAGTGCAACGGGCTGAACGAACAGGTCAGTTAAAAACGTGACGCACCTCGAAGCGGCAAAAAAATTTGTGACTTGGTATCCGAAACTCGCGTAGTACACATGCTCCATCACAGCCATCAGCTGAATCGCGTTGTAGCCTAACCATTAGAATACAGACACGAATGAGCTTTCCATTTTTCATTGTACAGCTGGTAAACTGGAAAATCACGTGTAGTCGACATTGACTTACCCAACCGCTTGATTCGAGGCAGGATATTATCCCTGAATTCAGAATATGACGCAACTTTTCCTTCGGTCGATGCGATGCCAACGTGGCATTCATAAATCTTCAAGCTTTTCGATGGGGACTGAATTCTTTCGTTCACGAATGAATGTCTCTGGAATGGCAGGGGTAAATACTTTTCACCGCGTAACTCGCGTAATATCCTATATAAATATCGCACCTCGGGCGGATTCCAGAATAGCCAGTGATAAGCCAGCCCTTCATGTTTTAATGGCTTCATGACATACGTTGCCCAAGGGCTGATTCGATCCACAAGCTCTCCGCTTCCAGTTTTAATTACAATCTGAAACATACGAAACGAGGAATATTCGCGAATTTATCACAGGTCTTCATGTAAACGCGTAGCAGCTCAAAAAGATATCGGAATTCTTACTTGAGCACACATTCAAAGCTACTAGGTAAGTGGAGAACAACTCACCTTCAGCTTGGACAGATGCTTTATTGCCGGAGATCCATCAGCACCAGGTGGTATCACCAGTTCCCATTTGCCATGTTCGAGTTTAGTATACGGATGAGAAGTTTGGTTCCAATCATCTAGGAGAAAGCATGGCAGTGAAGGAACGGCGAGCCTGACGATTGTGCTTATATTGTGACTCACTGAAATCTCCACGAAGATAAACGGCCTGAGCCAACGGCGCCCATTCCTTGCAGTAAATGGAGTTGTCGGGACGGACGTGAATGCCGAAGTGTTCGTAAGCTCGAGAGAAGTTTTCCAGACCACCTTCGTTTGAGTCAATGTCACGGAGGTGTTTTTCCATCATCCCATACCTGGGTAAGATAGATCAATAAGCATGAGACAAATCAATGCGAAGAGTAAGACTAATGTTACGAATATACCTCATGCGGATGTCGCGTTCATGAGGCTTCAAGTACGGATCCCGCCTGAAAAAATCCTCAATTCTCGGAACAACAACATTTTCGTAATGCATCTTAAGTCAGATACGAGATTCCGTGAAGCGCAGATCTGTTCAGAAGAAAAAAACCTCAGCATTATTTTTGTAACAATAGGTACATTCTGAATGGAATTCAAAAATAATTAAATGCAGAATCGTTTTGAAATCCTCTTCCTCCCATGTTTTCGATTCCAAATTCGGCTCTATTATTCTCGAATAAAATTCACTATCAACACGGAGTAAGCTGAAAAAAACTCGATTTTGTATGAGATTTCCATCAAAACGCATCGTATTATGCTTTCCATACAAACGAAGCTCCGTGCATCAGAGAAAATATAATCCTAACAAATCGAGGATTGAGTTCGGCAAATAAATACAATTACAGGATCTGTCCAATGATGCAAGGTCATGAAACATCAACAAAACAGGTTTAATTGAGTAAAGCAAGCGTCGCAAAAAAATAAGCCCGGGCTATGACATCAATTTGTTCCACTCCCGCATCGAAGTTGTCCAAGAAGAAAAAAACTAGACCTTCATCCGTGCACACGATTCCAGCGCAACAAAGTCATCCGATTTCGCCAAGAACCACGCACCTCCGCAAGGTAACACGGAAGAAATAGAAAAAAATCAAAATAAAAACAACCAAGCCTTAATACTGAAATTCGGACAGCAGCGTGAATTAAATTTTCCAACACTGCAATCATGTTGAAAATGCAGGTCCCGAAGCACCTCTCGAAGTACCAGTAGAGGCGTCTCGAGGGATAACCTCACCGCCAAATGGAACCTACATTCACCTCGAAATCAAGTCGATCTCAAAAAACACAGAATTCGCAGGATGATTCGAAGTTTAACATCAATTGCCCGAGGTAGACGCCTACGCTGAGAACCGAATCCGTTCACCAAAACCGGAAGACAATAGATAAAAACAGTCCCGGTAAACACAGTACACGGTTTTCGCGAGAAAAGCTGACAATTAAATCTCGCGTAAAACTTAGAATCACAAGCAAACATCGAAATAGGGTGCGCGGACGCCGCGTGTCACGAGCGCATAATCGAACCGCATGATGCCGGCGCGGTCGCCATCCTCGCCTTTTCGCTATTACACGCTCGTCCGAGCTTTTTCTTTCAACTTACTTGGAACCCATGGCATCCCACGTCATGCTCATTTGAGGCGCACCGTGGGGGAAGTTGGGATTGAAATTCATTGAATAAATTTCGGGAGAAAAATTTTCGGGAGAGTGTTCTGGCATACAGATACCCGCAGCGCTCACAGCCTGGCCGAGAACGTTGCTAGAAGAAGGAATTTGATGTGATTGTGCCGCACCACCGGTAATTCCGGAGTGCCCAGCAAAAGAGTAGAGGGCGCTCGAGTGCCCGTCTGCTGGACTGGGGGCCGAGCACGAACTCAGGCTCGGAGTTGTTGTGTAGCAGTTGGGACCGTCACTCGCGTACATTGCAGGGTGGCTGGTCGGGGATGCTGCTGCCTTTTGGTCCTGGATCTGCATCCAACTTTGCGCTTTAGCCTTATGTTTTGGATCGTAGCGTATTTGACTCTGCGCTTGCTGGCATCGTGGATCGCCGTACTGTTGTTGGGACAATCCTTGAAAACGATTTCGACGGAGATCCATTTCCTGTTCTTGCGGGTGGACTTGTTGATGATGAAGACCCACACTGGAACTCGACGACGTCGACGAAGCTGGAGAATTAACGTTGTTGTACTTCATTTGACAAGCGGGATTTTCACTTGCGAATAAAGCCCCGGGGGAGTACGGCGCGTAGCCCATGGTTCCTCCGCTCACTTCCGGATTTTGGTTTTGGATGGGTTTCAAGGAAAAATCCATGGGATTCTGATTGTGGCTAGCTGGTGGCTCTCGTGAGGAAGAAGACTGCCCCGCATTGTCGTAACCCGCCCCAAGCACCACACCGCCACTGCCAATCGGCAAGCCACGTTTAAAATTTGCGTATTCCTGGTGACCCCCGCGAGCCTGGTAGGGCGTCGAATCGAGCAAAGATTCCAGCGTCATTTGTTCCCCAGTCGTCGGTGCTTTGACGCCTCGATCAGCCATGGTCAGTTCATCACCAGGACTCATCGTCTTCCCTGGTGTACCTTCATCATCAGAATCACTCAAGCAGATCAGCTCCGCCGGCTCCGTGGAACTACGCTTCAGTCCGTCCGTCCGACGTGGCGCATTTGGTTGGGCTAAGGAATGAAACATTGATTCAGAACTTCAGCAAGGGATTCGGATGAGTAAAATTTCAAGCGAAACTTACGCAGTGGATGACGAATGAGGTTCATCAGAGCTGGATGATTTGACTTGAACGCGATAAATTTTCCGGATTGCAATCTTAAATATACGCCGTGCGGAGTAATCACAACCGTCATCGGTTGACCGGCTTTCAAAGTCAGCTGATTTGAAGAAGAATCCGCCACAGGAATGTTCAAGTCTGAAAAATGCAACGACAAAAAGAACTTATTTTCCATTTGCAAAGGCTCAAAAGTCAATTGGCCAGTTCATAAAATTTTTCGATTCACCGAACCCTTAGAAATTTATCTGGCGGATACCCTCAATCCGACATTACGTATTATGAATTGATGGGAGACTGGTGATAGTCTTCCCCAAAAATCATGGAAGTACGAATTCTTGAAACCGATCACATCTAATTTCTTCATGCATAATTTTCTTCGATTTCTCAAATGTTCCCTTTATTGCACAAAAGCATCAAGGGGCTCTTTGTAAGAGAAATCAGATCGAAGGTTGAGAACCATCGAGTCCACGATAAAGGCACGAGTAAAAACGTTGAAATGCGTTGAATCTTCGAAAATCCTACTGTCTCCCGAAGAAAAAATTCCATTAACTTCAAGGAAACTTACCTTTCGGGAGAACAAGATGGTGCATACTCAATCCTTGACGTGTAGGGGCCATCATCGGGGAATATACTTGCGCTTCCTTCGACAACGGACCTCCACGTCCACCACGCAAAGCTGAACGCATGTTGGCCATAGGCGCTTTGTACGCTAGCGGATTCAACTGGCTATGCCTTGAAAGTCCCCTAAAACCGAACAGAATTATGAACAGCTTTCCATCTAATAAGAAATCGATAACTTACGGCATTCCGTCGTCAATGTTGAAAGCAGGCGCAGCAAAGCCTGTCTTTGGATCAAAGCATGCTGTAGCAAATCCACCAGTCTTTTCCATCATATAAGCCTGTTTCGCAAGTTGTTTCTCGGCATCTGAAAGCTTCTTGTCTTTCCGATCCGCGAGAAGAGATTCGTGCTCCAAGGGCTCCTGTAATTCAAGATGGCGGGATAATTAATCAATCTTAATTGTTTCTTCAACAACATACTTTCGCCAAACGATCTCGACACACTGCAACAATGCGGCGAAGAACTAGATCGTCGAATCTTTCCGGAACAATCTCAGACAGAGCTTTGGCATCTTTAGTCTCGTCCATATCCTCTTCAGAAAAAAGCGTGTAGATTTCTTTGCTGAGAAGAACGTTGTCTGGATTGAGCTCGTCCACGACACGGTCCGAAACCCCTTGTTTACTGATTTGACGATCGTAAATCCTCTTCTCAAGACAACAATCAGCCACGAGTCGATAAATGTAACAGGGCTTCACCTGGCCGTATCTTTAAAAAATAAAAATAAGATTCTTCATAAATTAGATCCCGCATGACTTTTGCAGAAGACATCAACTCACCGGTACACCCGACAAACGGCTTGTGCGTCGTGACACGGATTCCATGAAGCATCGAATATCACAACTCGGTTTGCGCCAACCAAATTTATTCCGAGACTTCCGGCTCGAGTAGAAATTAAAAACATATGTACACTGGGATTGGCATTGAAGTCGTTTATCAAACGCTCCCTTTCCTGCGGTGGGGTGCTTCCGTCGAGACCTATTCAAGTAATAAGTGAGTAAGAGACTCACGGCTTCGAAAAATTAAAAACGTACGGTAGTAAGAAACATTCCGCTTCCACTTCTGCTCAGTCCCGTAAATACAGCGCGCACCAAAGAACTCCTCCAGTAGATTCAACGTGATCAAGGATTGGGAGAAAACCAGTATTCGGTCGCCCAACCGCACTGTTTCATCAATGATTTCAAGCAGGATGTGAACTTTCCCTGAATTTAACGCGATGCCGGGAACATATTTGCGCATCAACGGGATCGCCTAAAAGAAAACAATTCATCTCTAATTTAGTACTGTATGAAGAAAAGCGATTTCAGCCTCAGGATATTCACCCATTCACGCGATGTTGAAAGCAGATCTCTTTTTCCGGTATACTCTAGTTCCTCGCTGTACTTGAAGGGGTCATTGTCGTAATAAGAATAAACTCCATTTGCTTCCAATTGGCTCGCGATGACGCTCGATGCTGTCGACGGGGTCGAGCCTAACACGGGAGCGGATTCCACTTTTCTGAGGGGGTTTCCCATCGTGGGACGCTCGTACGTCTTTACATGACTTTGGCTGTAATTCGCCGCCATCATGCCCCCACGAGGGAAATCTTGGGCCATACTCCCGAAGCTCGGCTGATAATTCTGCTCCGCGGGGTTCATATTATACGGAGGGGGTATCACAGACTCAGATTTGTTGTAGAAATGGGATTTCAGAGATAAATCAGAAGGAGCTCCGCTTCCATCGGGTACCGACGTTTCATCGTATCCGAGTCGAGGTTTGGGAACGGAGGGGTTTCCATTTTTCACAGTTTTCTTCGGTTCCTCTATATCCAAATCCATCTCATCAGCATCCTTTCGTTTCAGGTAACTGTAGAGTACGTCTGGATGGTTCCAGATCTACATAGAAACGAATCGACGCATGAGATTTTGAAGAAAGAAATAATGTGCGGTGAATAACCTTGCAGCACAGCGAAAACGCTTGGACGGGATTGGGGGACGCATTTCCTTCGTGGAGAGCGTTCAAAAACGCGCGATACAGCTGCCTTTGGAAATCAGTCATGGCTACAAAAATGACCCATTCTTCTTTCAAGGGAAGGTGGTGTTTCAGTACACTTTGGCTTCGTCTACGAAGAGGAATAGAAAGTTAGAAACTATAAAAAATTGGGCGGAGGAGAATCCTAAAGAAACTTGCCTTTGAACGAAACCGGATAGCAATGAATGTAAAACATGAGCACGATGCCTCATAAGCCTCACATCGGAAGGTGTGCTATCCAAGCACTGACCATTCTGGATTGGCCTTTCAAACATATTGGAGAATTCTTGTTTCGTGCCAAGGAAGCTGGGACGCACGAAATCCACCATGCACCAATACTCTACGGATTTGAAATACATGAAGAAAATCGGAGCGAAACTTATGGAGTCGCAGGAATTTTACCAAGCAGATTGTTCTGTAGCGGATATCCTGTCAATACAATCCTCCGCCGAGTCCGTATTGTTTTCAGGGCCTGAGAAATTGAAGCAGACGCATTCTTGATCCGGTGACCTTCATCACAAACCACAAGATCCGGTCCCGGATTCGCAAGACAGCGTATCAGTTCTAACGACAAAAAAATGTTCGACAATTTGTCCCAAATGAAAGTAAATTTAAACCGGTAACATACCTTCTCTCTGCCATCGATGCTTCTCATCAAACTCATATGCGTCTTCGTCGTCCATCTTCTTCCTCTTCTTCGCCCCAGTTGGGCCACGGAGGATGATCAAACGATATAATTCATACCCGATAAGCAGAACTCCGCCGGACGACGACCACTCATTGATGACCTTTCGAAGCAAAAATTAAATATGGAATACAACACTATTGCACAAAGCAGAATCGCATCCGAGTACATCTTCCAGTGTATTTCTTTACTCGTCGACTGCGACGAAAGGAATAAACGAGGGGTGAAAATCCTTAACATAATCTAAGACCACATGCGTAGCTCTTGAACAGCGCGTATCAAGTTACTCGTCGTCGTAATCCCGCACTCAGATTGCACGGCCATTAACCGCAAGTCATCGAACTAGCAAGTTAGATCACTTTTCCACAATATTCACTAGGAGTAAAGATATTTACGGCGTTAAGACCACAAATCTCGACGAACGTCTACGGTGATAAATGCACAGATCAAGTACAGATGGGTATTCTACCAATCATCGTCAACTGCATATGACCAGGCTAATTGTGAATAACGTTTGATGAATGCGAATCATGAACGTATTTAGTACTAAAGAACCAGTCATTCAGCGGATCAAACTTACCTCTGCACGTGCTGTGTTCGTTCTATGCATTTCGTTGAGGACGTACAATCGGAATGTACGCGGCTCAACTTCCCCCGTTTTCGACAGAGGTGAAGAGGAAGGAACTTCGGGAAGCCAGTAATTGAACTCCGCAACCCAATTCTGGAGTGTGTTGATTGGTACGACGCACATCACGGTTTTCGCGGACGTATTCTTCAGAAGTACGTCAATGAATGCAATAACCTGGCGGACATGAGAAGATAAAGAAATTGCTCCAGCTCCACAAAACATCCAAAGCAGACCTGCAACGTTTTCCCGAGTCCCATGGAATGAGCTAAAATGCATCCAAATCCTTGGGTGTTATGGAAAGTATGAAGATTTTCGACGATGTTGTCATACATGAACCTCACTCCTCCGATCTGCAAATACAGATTCGCCAAGCATAGGCCATCATTCATTAGAGAACAAAATTCGTTTCCGCTAGAAAAAATTTTCTCAATCGCTCACCTGGTGAGGTTTCACAGCTCTAGCAATTTGCTTGCACAGGTAAACTGGCTTTTCATCACTCGGGCGAGAAACATTCACTAAAACACGACCGAATTCATCCGGTTGGTTCAATGAATCGTCGGTGTGAGCTCCAGAATTGTCATAATCTTGACGCTCAACGGGCACTTCCTGAATATCATCGTCATCTTCGTCAATCGCTTCTTCGATCTTTCCTGCTGTAATACACAAACGCTTTAACAAAAATCCAGGTGATGTCAAACAACAGATCACAACCTTCACCGGATTGTTCTTCCTCGCTCGACAAGTCCACCAGATCCGGTTCACGACAGCGGAATCCCCGCGTTGCCTCATTCTAGACACGAAAAAATTGACCATGAAGAAGAGAAAACACAGGCATAATGTCAGATTACCCTTGTATGAGCTTCCATGAGGCGACGTTTCCGTTCACGCTCCGCTTCAAGTGCTTCGCGTGTTCCGGCTTCAAGATCGTTAACATCAAGGAGTTTCCGTATGTTTTTACGGTGATGTTTTTCTTTCTTCTGCGCATTCTTATCTCCCTGCTCATCTCCACTTCCATCTTCACCATTGTTTTCAATTGCATCATCCGCGTTGTCCTCGGTGTCCCCGACAGAAGGTTCATCGTCATTAGTTGGTACCCTTTCAATCTTGCCTTCGACGGTCTTCGGCTCTCCCAACGGAGATAATCGGCAACAATCCTCGCGAGGAGATCCGTCCGAAAAGCAACGTCCAGTTTCAAGGTTTTCCATCATCTCCAGTACAAGCCTCGAATTTTCACCTCGCGTTAAATTTCCACGGCATCATTCTGTCGAGTCGCACTGCAAAGGTAAAATTTCGTTAGTCTGCGTCCTTTTTGATCACAGGGTCAAGAGTTTGAAATACTGGTAACCGCAGTACCTGCGATACAGGCACTGAAGAACGCACACGCAGTACAACTCGAGGAACCCGGGCGAAAAAACCGACCACATGCATGATTAATAGTGTTCACTTTTAAAAAATCTAACGTGAATCCTTCTCACTAAAACACCCCAAACGCACGTTTCTCAATGAAGAACTTGACGGTTTCAAACAGAAAAAGGCCAAATTCTCCGACAAAAATACAAATTCGATCGAACGGCCCGACACCAACAATCCTGAGCTAACATTGCAACATGCTGATCCTCCGAAATTTCCGGGGAAAGTTCGACATGATAGAGAGAGAGGACGACTCATACAGTAGTTCGACAAGCAGTGATCGCGAAATTTAGTGACAAGGATTTCCGTTTCACGCAAAATGTACCAACGGTGGTTCGAAAATTGTGACAATGGCGGTCTAATGCGCATCGAAATAACCGGTCGAACACCACAGCTCAGCGGACACGATTTCCGTTCGGTCACATTTACGAACTTGAAGTCGATGGCCAAATCTAGCAAACCGTGATCCCGAACTGTAATAGCACAGGTTTCCGCTGAATCACAACACGAGCGCTCCCATGATGATATTTGCTTTCGGTCCCAGGCACGAGGCGGCGCTCCTATTCGAGGTACCCGAATCGCTCATGTATGAAGAAGATACACTTAATCGGAGGTCCTCGCAAAAGTTTCTCTAATATTGGAGCGCAGAGATTATTTTGAGTGAAAATAGAGCTGCGAACTTATCGGCTTAAAAATTTAGAACTGACGGAGTAATATGATCGTCAACCATCAGCAACATCAACAACCCCTTCGTGCATTAGTCGATTACTTGCAGCAACGACACCTGTTCAAGTTTGATAAAACAGAGGATTGCATGGAACGAGAAAGCGCAACGAGGCACGCGGCATCGAAGTCGAAAAATTATTCTTTTGGATAACAGGCTTGCATTTTTCTCCAACCTGAATTAAGGGGTGGCACCCAGTATACTGTAGTACTCCTATGCTGTAGTATATGCTGTATCGACGCCATTGAAAGTTGATGGTATGGCTTAGCATGCCGCGCAATTATATTGATTCTTTATCTACAGTACAATACAGTATTTACTGTATATCTCGCATGTCTCGTCATGAACTTCCTCAGCTTCCTCCTGGCGTTCTTTACTATGGCACTGAAAGCGCCTGGAACATTTAAAAAATATTAGAATCAGAAGTGTGATTCTATTGGTTTATTGCCAACTTTAGGTGCTGATAGACGGTACTGAACTGGCACATGGCGGCAAATACGCCTTGATTCGCTTGTTCGTGCCTTTTCATCATATAAGAAGCTGATAATTTTGCCTTATGCAGCCTTGATTGCGCAATAGTTCAAAAATATTGCCTTCTATCACTCGTCGACCGAAACAATTATTCGTGCCTCATCGGTTTTATTGTGAACCGCCGGACTTTCCCGAAGGTTCCCAAACATGCAAAAATACTGTACATGCATGCGGGGAATTTAGTTCCGAACAGGTGTGGACTCCCTCTACGAAGAAATTCGAAGGACCGGAAAAATTTGTCGCCGAGAGAAATTAGTTGTACAGTAGTTACAAGTACAACATTACAGGACCCAAAAATGTTCATAGTGCTGGAGAAAATCGTTGTACAGTATAGAGAGTCATCTATACCTATACAGCACACCATACAGTATATGGGATGAAAGGGAGACGACGGGTTGGGTCTGACAGATTATCGTGAAGAAGGTGTACTCTATACTAGCCCGTGCATTTTAGTTAGACTACTGCTGACAGCTAGGATTCCGTGGATCGTTGAACGAACGTTTTCATTGCACCATAAGCCAGGAAAGTTTGTACATGGGATTATTGCTATAGCAATCCCATGAGGCAAAAGCATTGCTTGGATGAAGCGCAGTAAATATTTTATGTGGAATCCAAGGGCGAATGAGCCACGTGTAACGCATACATTTTATGATTCAGATTCGCTGTTGCTGCCAATAATCGGCAGCTTTTCGAATCATGGACAGAAGGACGAACACGTGTTCGGAGCGACACTGAGATTATATACAGTACAATATTAAAGCGCTTTCGACAGTTAGAAATGCAGTAGGAGTTATTCCTCGCTTGGATTTTGCCCCAGCTGATGGATGGCTGTCATATTACAAAGCAATACTGTACAGTATTATTCCTTCATGAAAAATGCTGAATATATCTGACAGACGATTTGCTCACAAACGTCATATCACAGAATTTTCACGATTATCGAGGAGTTTTTGAATCAAGCGTTTCCATTATTCTAGATAATTCAACAAAGGAAAGCGCATTTTATTTAATGATTATGTTAACGCGTGTGAATGAATTCATTGAACTACACTATTTATCCCTCATTTCAAGTCCTGTACTAAATTCAAATTTCTTTGGAATCAAAATGGAATGTCGATTGCTTAGTCACGCCCTATATATAGGTACAGTACCATGTAGTCTCCACAAATCACATCAAGATGAAGTTCATTAATGAAATCAGAATCCCAACTGTTCTAGTGAATTGAAAATCGTAGGAAAGATTGGTTCGATTGAATTTCTGAGATTCTGACAAACTTATTGATATCTCACAGATATGGTTGGTCGAAAGCAATCATTCACATTTCATCAGGAGAATCTATGAGCATCTTATATTACCGTACTATGTTTAAGGCATCATTAAAACACCCGAAATTTTGAATCGATCAATTTATTTAATGCGTCTCACATTTGAAGTGCATTTGTAAGTTCAGACTTATGCGGACTGAGTCGCATTTTTACTGATTCCGTCTACTTGTTTCTCTCATTTCTCAGGGGTTTCAAATCGGAAATGGATCCGGAAGGTCCAGTTATATGTTGTGATTGAATAGTATTACAGTATCTCCATTCCAACACGTGGAGTCCACTGATCTGGGAAAATTATCTGCGATTCACCGCGTTGTAATGAACATAGAAAAAATGAAAGTTGAATGACGATTATCACAGCGTGCTGGATTAAAATCTTCACCAAACCTGTTTCCTTCCAGTCGTTGCGTCCCAGACCAAACAGCACACATCTCGGAGTCCGGGTTCAATTAAAATTTAATCGCTTTTCATGCCCGCCTGATCCTGTCGATATGCCAGGAGCAAAATTGCGATTAAAGGCGCAAGAATTCTCAGGCCGGACAATCCCTTGATTAAACATTTTTCCTGGCGGGGCTATTTCCACGGTAGAAATAAGGAATGTACGTGAACCTTGCGAGCCCTCTAAATCGTTTACGGAAGCAGACATTAGTTCGAGCAAGTTTCCCTTTAAAGGTACCATGCATATACACAAGCAGTATGTGCGCCAGAAAAACTGCTATTGGAGAACAAATGGATACCCTTTGATTGAGCCGCCGACCGTGGGCGTAACCAAGAAAGCGTAAGGCAAGGATTGATGTGATTACAAACACGCGAGCAGCAGTGTCGGCTCAAAGTCGGGGAAATTGTAGAGCAAAAAACTGCTCAAGCAACGCCTTTATTCCCACCACGATTCTCCTCTCAATTATTCTCGGGATCCTCGGCCAGACCGTGGAACAATAGAAGCGACGATGACCGCATATGAAGAGTTACCTCACTTACACGAATATATACATCAGGGGCCTATAAGTAATATTAGCTGGAAAACTCAGGCGAGACCTATGCTCGAGATAAGCTAGGATAAGCTGCGGTATAAATAGAAGGTGCGACTTATACGGGACCCGAAGTCTAACTTCAATTAGAATGAGAAGAGGTCAAGTCGGCAGCATGAAGCAAATCTACACCGTAGGGAAATCATCCAGAAAGAATTTCCCCACGCACTTATTCAATGGTCCTTGGCTAGGTTATGGGTTACATTCTTGACCAAGCTATCGTAATCCTTATAGTGTATATCTGATAGAAATGTCCATGAAATATTTGTTTCATGCGCGTTCCTGCCACGGAACTTGAGCATTGCCGTAGCCCATACAGAAATGAAACGGTTGTTTAAAATCAGGTTGCGGCATTTAATTGCTTAATTACAGCAAATTGCCGCATAAAAAAAAACAGCACTCTACACAGAATCCAAGCATCCCCTGGGATCTCACCCCTCGAAGTTGTTTTGATGGAGCGAGCCCAAGTTAGCTTTTTTTGCTTGTTTTCCTGCCCTCTCGCCCAGAATCTACCTTCAATTACGCGTCTCCCTGGCGAACGTACATGCATTTCGTGCGTCATTTATGATCAAATAAGGCAGCTAACTACCCAGGGCTCAGTTTATGTGCGCTTTATGCAGACCTATACTTGTTTCCACTCATCCATCCAACAGGCAAAAAATGAAGCACCGTGATCTGTACCATACGACTTGGCTTCGTTAGCACGCAATTCCTGACCCTCATTGTTCCAGTCTTCGTAAGATTCGGAACGCAAGACCAGCGCCATGAGAATTGTCATACAAGCGAAAAAATCAGTTGAGGGGACATGAGATCAGGAGAAAAGGCGATTGAGAAACGGACACGCGAAAACAAACTATGTGGCAAGGAAATCATGTGACATACATTACTTCGGAGAAAACTTCGGAAAGGAATAATTAAAACAACGAAGAAATAAAAGTGGGGAACGCAACGAATGAAGTACAGTATGCCCCGAGCAAGAAAATGTCCTTGCTAAAACTTAGAAGGCTGACATGTTTCTTTTGACACATGTAAAGAACAAGAACAATATACAGCAACATTATTGGTTTTCACCAGTAGCAGTTGCTTCTTCTGCCAGCATTTTCTCAGGTCATTTCCTCCACCCCGCGGCGTATATAGTCACCAGCTGACCCCTTGCTAAAATAAATACAATTTTTCTGATGTCATCGGGCACATCGCAGTCATCGCTTTTGCTCGTTTATTGCATAACAAAGAACAGACAGTGCGAAATAACCGTTCGATGATGCTGTGAAACTCGCTTAGCATTTCAAGTGAGGATTACGATATGATAGCATATCTCGATCACCGACAACTCCTAGCCGAAGAATAACTTTCTAAGATAAGCAAAGCATGTTCAGCTGTCCGACGAAAGTTGATTTACGCTGGCCGTTATTGCATCCGTTGATATTACTCTTCCATGCTGTACTGTATTAGAGAAATGGCTTCTGAACTAGCTGTTCAAATTTCTGACGCAAAGGCGCTCCAATTTGAAAATTACTGCATTCTAATATTTCTAACGCGATTGTGCAATGATATAGCAAAGATTAGAGCCGTCGAAATGGATATTTTTCCGCGGAGCTGGCGTTTCAAATGCTTGTTGTGACGACCGCAGCTGTTGAGAATTTATATGGAATGATGATGCTTCCCTGCAATAAGCTTCGTGAGTTACGGCGGAAAACTCGTTCGTGCTTTCTCCGCTGACGCAGAACAACTGCAGTGCTGGAAGTGACGAAAGAGATCGAAATCAGAAGGAAGTCGCGAATGCTCACTTATTACCTTGCAAAGGCGTGGGAATAACCGACTTGACGAATGCTAGATGCGACGACTTTCTCGCATCGCATTTCCTCGCTCTTCCGCTTCGCGCTGCGATCGGTCTTCGCACACGATCATCACTGTTTTCGCGATAGTGGCGATACTTTTAATGTCTTCTGATGTAACTTGAGGATTTCACGATGCATCGTTCGCCGGCGTGATTCAAACCGTGCGATTGCTCAACGCGGTTCCTTTCTTCTTACTAATATACAGCAGTACGATGTTTTCGTTGTTTCGAGGCTTGAAAAGGGTGTCGCTAAAGTATGACGTCTACCCAAAATCCCGCCTGCAGCTACAATACAGCTGCATTGCAGTCATGTCGCAAGGCATCTTCCTAACATTCGGCACTCAGTTGAACTTTTTGTGATGCAACGCGGTAAATCAAACTGGAAGAAGATGAATCCCGCGTACTTACGTTCAAAAATGTCAAGATAAAGTAAGGTTGGAGGCGCTACCATATCAACTCAAATAATACAAGCCACATTTCCCTTGAAAAAACATTTTGATCCGAACGATGTCAGCAAGACCTATGCTGTGTGTATACTGTTAGACTGTACTGCTGAGGATGTATTCGGAATAATGTCGCAGATTGATGATTTCTTTGAGTTGAATAACGGAATAGGTCCTTTCTTGAAGCTGAAAGAAGTGAACAAAATTCAGCGCCCTGCGCCCGTTCATGATTCATTTGTCCATTCCGTTGCCAAACTGCTGACTGCTTTTTTTATGCAAGAAGATAATGCTTGTGGCAAAGCTTATGTGGGAAACATTCTCAGACCAGATTTAATTCAAATTTATATTAATGGCCACGTTTTCAAAGTAAAAATTCCCACTTGTTTTACCCCGTCGTTTTTTTTTTTTTTCGTAAAGCAGCCCAAAATCAGGATGCTGTGGCGTCGCGTCTTTTCATGTAAAATAATATGCATCAAGCCTAATTTTTTACCAGTGATTTATAGTGTGAGGCACACATAATCAGGCATTATGATGTGTGGCTTATAATTGTTTCGTACAAATATACGAATAGAAAAATTAACGCGTTCCAAAACTTGGAAATGGAAGCAATCAAAACAGAAAAATAAGCATAGAACTTCGTCATTCGTAGTCATGCATCAGAGGGTCTCAAGCCCACTGATCGCATGGTTTCCAGCATAAGTTCTTTAATTATGACAACACGGATAAGTCCCCATTCAGCACTAAACTGCGCAAAATAAAGAGCAGTGGAAATAAGAAACAACGGCATTTTAGACTAGATACGTGAAACTTTCACAAAAACAACTGCGCAAGCATAAGGAAGAAGTTGAAGAGATTTCTCGGCGAAACGAAGGGATCAGGTATACAGTACACGCGATTTATTGTGTGGTTCAAATTTTTAGGAAACCAAGCCTTTGTTATCCTTGACCGAGATGAATCTTTGAACTATACATATACAGGTGAACTCTCTTCAACCATCTTGCCTACAACTATTTTCTCTGACAAATTTGTTGTGGTCCCGTAGGGTTCTCTCCCAATATTATAGGGGTTCTCTCTACAGCGGATTTTTTTTCTGGTTCCGTGAGTTTCATTGGAGAAAGATTGCACCAGCATATATGCACGCTTTGGTTGCATAAATGCGGTATGGTAGGGTATTCACAACATACTGAAGTAACTATAATTTGGTGAGGGGGTAGTCGCCCTCCTGATGGTGCACAGTCGGATGCAGCTCCCACCTCACCCCATACAGCAAGGGTTGATCACTTGTAGCTCTGGCCCGCAGTCCGGAGTTGCGGACTGTGTATACATCTTCCGACGATGATGTTTATCGAACTCTGTCGCGAAGCACCTGGCGCTGAGAGCCGCAAGTTTGAGGCCTGGGTTTTTCTTCCCATCTATGGGCACGTCGTACATGCTGATGAGGTTCGTCCGAGAAGATTGCTGGGATTCCAGCGCGTCTGGACTCCGATCCGTCCTGAGCTCGCGTCTAGACACATCTCGCCCTCCTCTTTGTCTCATAGGCACGACGGGCAGAGGATTGAAAAAAATGGACCTCTTCTTGCACCAGAAGTTATGCGAATGCCAACCCGACAATAGTCACAAAACGAGCCCATGATGTATGTACGTCGTCAAGCAGGTGTGCTACATGCCGTCATCGCGACGTCTCTGACCTCCGTCCGTCTCCAACTTCATCCCGCGAATGGTGTAGATGCACGATGGATTCAGAACCTCGCTTCTTTGCCATAAGTGCTCCAGCATTTTCAGAAGAGCGGCTTAAATTGATCTGCAACCTAATCGTGACCCGCTCGAAAAGTATTTCGAATTACAGGCAGCTATTAGTGATAATTTTTTGCTGTGAGATATCATTCATGATGAAAGCGTCTGAGCAGCTTCTAGAATCTAGACGGAGTATTTATCAAAGTTGTTGAAACCGTGATCAGCGCAGTTTTCGCGAAATATCAGTAAAGTAAAAAGTCTAGAAAGTATTCCAAAGTATAAATAATGTACCCAGGGTTTTTCTTTTATTAATTTGACATTCCTTCGATCTCGCAGAATTTCGCGCAAAACTGATTGTAAGTCATTTTGAAATCCAAAAAGTAACACAGTACAGTACGAGTATAAGCTTAAGCTTATAATTTTTGGGATTTCAATCACTGAAAAAGGTAATAACCAGCATGTCCCAATCACGTGATCGATTTTCGGTAAAAACTGCTAAAATGCGATTGCGTAAATTCGTATTTGTATGTGATATCAATTTTAAAGCTAGCTAATTTTTTCCTTTATTCCTTCGATGTTGTGGGAACTCATGCATATATTGTAATGGTACTAACGATTTCTGAAGTGTTTTTATTGCTTCTCGCTTTCGGATAACACAATTTGGGCGAATACTTCAATTCCAGAAAAGCGTATTCTTATCTGTTCTTGGAACATTTTTAACAAAAACCTCTCAAAATAGCTCAAACTTGATTTTTAAACGAATTTCGGCGATCGCAGATAAATGTTTCCAATGTCCATAGTTTTTTGAGATGCAGTAAAAATATGCTCTTTCCGATTAAAAAAAATGTTCATGTGCAATTTCCTTGAAATCGCGATATCAACCATAATCTGACAGGTTCATAAGAATGAATTACATTCAAAAATAGTTGCATTCGACGTTCACTCCAAGTCCACATTCATTTTTTGAAGAAAATCGCTGTTTGAAAAATTTGTCACGAAAAACTCTCCGTCACCATGCATTCACAACCAGCTTTTCTTTATGTGGAAGGTACATTGCTTCGATTTTGCAGAAACTCTCCCAAAAACGACACTAAAATCTTTTTAGCAGTATGACTGATTTTAGATGTTTTCGGCTAACTTCTGTATGAATGACATTTTTTATCTAGACTTGTGCGCTCCTCAATTTTAACATGTCGCGATAACAGCTTCTGAAGTGCAGTCGTTCAAATGCGTGATGTTTTCCAATGACCACATGAGAACCTGACTTGTATTTGACTGTTCGAAAGATTTTCCATTTATTTTGTGCAGGTGGACTCTCTCAATGCAACGGAATTCAAGTGCAAAAAAAACCGTAGTAGAATTTTGCTGTAGAGAACCCCTGTAACATGGGGAGAGGATCTTATTGGATCAATCAAAAATTCGTTATTCAGAGAAAATTGTCGTAGATGAAAAGATCGTTGTAGAGAGAGAGAGTGCACCTGTATAGTTGCATTGATGAACTTTCCTTTCGAGTCCTGATTGAGCTCAATTTCAGCATTTTCAGTTTTGGAAATAGAGTATTTATATTTTAAAATCGGTCCAAAATGTTCCTCATTCTCTCTACACCGCAGAAAGTCACGCAAAATCACTGGATTTCCAGGCCCCGCGGTTCGGTCCCACGAAATATGCTCAGAATGATCGATTCGCAACCTTCTGAGTCGACCGGCTTTGCATACCGACCGGGAAGGACGAAGCCCGGCAATCTCTTCCGAGTCCAAGAAATAATGTCGTTAATGTTATGGGCTCGTTTGCATGGTTGTTCAGTCTCATTGAACTACCATCCAGTCGAACCCAACATCCCCCCCCCCCCCCCCCCCCCCCCCCCAAACCCCCCCCCCCCCCCCCCCCCTTTTGACATTCGAGTACCAACCAATCTTGACGGGTCCTCGAAGTGATGAACATGTCACCTAGATCGCACTTGCACCGGGTTCGCGCGAGTGTGGGCCGCACAGCCTTCCCACGTGCTTGTCAACGAGGTCAAAAAGGTTGTCGATTTGATTGGGTTTTACCGAACCCGGTTCAGGCTTCATCCAATTAGTTCCGAGCGAGGTAATTGAATAGCATATCATAGAAGCGGAAGGCATCCGTATGCGTGGGAAACCGGTGGTATTCCTGTACTTCAAATCTGCCTGCATAGGATGGCTTCATATCGACGCTAGCAACATAAATGATATTGGGCTCATTATGTGGCAATATGTTTCAACAATGCGACGTTGATGAGACGAACAGAGAGGCCGAGGTAAACAAAACATACGAACGCTCGTCCTTTGTCGTGCCACTATAGTAATGTATCGCAGTTCAACGTCTTTAGAAAGACTGAAGAGAGTTGGGGAACAATCGGCAGCTTATGCAAATGCCACGGTATTTTTTCCATTTGGATTCTATTTTTAAGGGCTGAAGAAAAATGCGTTTGGTGTTATTGCATGAAATCTTTCCTGGCATGTAATAAATAAATTAATAGGAAATAACGAGTAAAGCACAAAGCAATCTCTGCGAAGGACTTTCGGAGACAAACTTCAAGCTGTTTCTCAAGTTTGGTGGGCGATGATTTCATCAAGTCGAATTTTTGAAAATTGAGATCCTGCCCATTGACGAATAGTTTAATTTCAAAACGTATATAGAGCATCCCCGGTACAATTTTCCCTGTCGGTGGTCTGTGTATTTCGTCATCTGTCAAAATAAAGACTTACACGCAAAGATCGGACATCCTAGGGTCATGTCAATGATGACGCAGCAACCGCGTGCACATCATGGGCCTGCTTATTTCGACGTCTGGACCGACGCCGAAAACGCCCGTGCTCAATAAATAACTAGAGGAAACGTATTACCATTCGCTGGCGAGAAATTAGCAATATCCGGCAGTAATTGCAAGTCCCCCTGCGGTGAGCAATTGTGAAACGTACGATATCCCCGGAGCTCTTGGGAACCGACTGCCCTAGGCCTGCAGGGTCAAGTACAAATGATCCCTAGCTTGGAGCAGCGCAATCATTGCGTGAAGGTTTCTTCGCTGCCCAACGACCAGGTTCCTTCCTGCGGTTACTCGGAACTCTCCCCTGAAAATTTCGGGTAATTTCTATCCCGAGCATAGGCTTTGCTGACACCTGCTGCGTTGTCACAGCGCATTCCGCATAGTGTTCCCATAAGAAGCAACACGCATTTCCTAATACCACGCTATACTCGGAAAACCTCTCTCTTCTTTTTTCTCTCTCTCAATTCTCGAAACATTCGCACGCCAGATATCACGTCGAGACTCAGATGCCTTCTTTATGTTCGCTTTATTTTCCAAGGCTGGACGCGAGGAAGAAGGAACATACGAAGAATCAATTACGATATGATGCGAACCGAAATTTACCATTCTTGGTTCTCTGATTCTCGGACTGCATGCGCGGATGGTGTGTAATTTCGACTAGGCTTGCTGTTCTCGAGAATTGATTATCTAAAATTCTAAACTGACATCAAGTATCAACATTAGGTTTAGAGAAATTGGAGTTTTCAATCGCGAAGTCTTCTATTGAAGAGTAATGCCAACAATGAACTGACGGCCGCGAGTTATAAATGGATAAGAAGCAATGAGACGCAAAATCTTTCAGATATATTGCTGAAAGACATGAATGGAGTACAGTACTGAGTACAATAAAATTACAGATTAGCTTATAGAACAGTATTCTGACATCCGGGAAACGGAATAACTGGCGGAGTCTGAGCTGCAAAAGTAAGAGAGCGCGTGGATATTGTTTCTAGGGTAATTTTTCTATCACAATGACGTTCGGACAAAGGCATCTGGGATCTTAAATTGAAAATCATTGGAAAGGTAATCGAATTAACTTCAATTTTACACACCTGTATTCGACTCGCGTTTCTAAGGCGGTACGTTGAAAGATTCAGGATATATAGTGTTATTCCTTTAAAATCGGTTAAATTCTCTTTCTCCTTCATTTCTGACGAATCTCACGTTTGGATATTTGTTCTTGGAAGTAATTAGTAACCGCTTCGAAGGTTTTTGGGCTCATTGCGGAAACACGTGTGAGTTCTTTCCTTTAATTCGTTTCAAAACATGGTGGTAAAATTACGGTAATCCTACTGATAGTTAAAAAGTTACAAATCATCGGAATGGCGAATGCACGGACTTCCTTTTTTATTCAGTTAGGCGGAAGCTGCAATCGTTCAGGAAATGAAGAGGTCATAATGTTGAAACACCCGCCTACTTTTTCCTGGGCCACGGGCATTCCTGACGAGGACGAATCTGTTTTTGGAAAATAACGGCAATGAAGATTACCTCTGTTTCTTCCCGAGTCTTTCCAGTTTCTGAATCCTAGGCAGGCATTCAAATAAGTCGACGTCGCTCAAAGACGTCACACAGTGTTGTAGTCAGTTGACGGATATGGGGGAAAGACGCGATCACTGCTGGGTCCACGACGACGGCCAATGCTCGAGCAGTAATTCTCGCGACTCGCTCACAAAACACGCCGGTAAAGTTCAGATGACTGGAAGTATCACCTCATCACTGAACGTCATTCATCGCAGCCCTTGACAAGGGTTAATCGAATGCCTTCGCACTTTATGGACTTTTTTGGTGGCCGTTGCGCAACGCGTCGCGAAGGCTGTGTCGCGCTCAGGCGATTTTTATGTCGTCACTACGACCGTGCTCTTAACCGTGACCGCGAAAAACAGTTCGTAATAAGCACTTAGTGCAAGCTACGTAAAAAATCAGGAAGAAAATTATTACGACAATGATTACGGCAAACTTCCTGTTTTTAAATTAC